TATATATATATATATATATATATATACTATATAGTTGAATTTCTTATATCCGAAAGTGTTAAATTTGAAAATTCAAAAATACTTATCAACTTCAATATATCAATATTCGTATAAAATTTGAAAGTAGTATATATATATATATATATATATATATATATATATATATATATATATATATATAATGTATGTATATGTAATATTAAAATTCAAAGGGAAAAATATGCTCTTTTCGAACTTTGGGAGGATTACGTCTAAAATCCCCAAACATACTCTCAACTGATGGCAAAGGAAGACACGAAAGCGAAGGGTCGTCTCGAACGATGGGCGACAACGACGAGGGGGAAGTTAGCAGTGCCATGGCGGCCCCTTGGCTTGGCTCAAAGAACGGCACATCCGCGTCTTCCCACGGTCACTGACGAAAAGACCCCCGACAGGAGGAAGAAGGAGGAGCCCTCTCCCTCATGAAATGCTTCCTGCTAGTACGATTTTGTCAAGGTTGATTAATCTCACATCGGACCGGACAAAAACAGGAAAGAAAAAGAAAAGCGACATTTTGGTGATTTAATTTTTAATTATTGATTCCAGTTTTCTAGAGTTTGATGGTTAATTGTTGCCGTCGGCTAGGTGAAAGTGTGGCTCCAGGGCAATGCGGATCACTAATACGTTTTCTCCAAATTTCTTCTTTGAAGGTACACACCCGCTTTCGTTGTTGATCTGGTTCTTTCATGATTTTGAGCGGTCTCTTCACGGTTTTCATAGTCTGGATCCTTTCATTATGTTAAAAACAATCGTAAAAATCAAGTTGAGAGTTGGTCCCATTAAAGTTTCAAAACAAAAATTATTCAACTTGTTCGAATCATGTCGTATGCCATAAATATCATGCATTTTGTATCTACTAAATGCATAGCTAGAAGATGAATTTTGGTCTTGAAGCCATTTGTTGCTAGGGATTTAATGTTTCCAAGAATTACCAAAAATTATATATATATATATATATATATGTATATATATATATATATGCGTGTGTGTGTGTGTGTGTATAAATTATTAATGTTCCTATTGATAATATTATAGGAGCATGCCTTTCGTAAGATTAATGCATTGAAAAATTGTGACATGTGTTGCATAAACATGTAACACTACAAAGAAGCAAAAAAAGACAAGCTTGATTATTAGTTAGAAGCTTGAGCACATAAGCCCAACTGGGATAGTAATGGTGAGAATTATCTCATTGTGCATTTGAGCATGGTAATGCATTAGATGGTTGATTGACTATACGTAGCACATAGAGCACAAATTTTAAAGATATTTTTTTCCTCTGCTAAGGTTTTGTGGTTAAATAATGGAGAATACCAGACTAAAAATAGACCTGTAAGAACAATAAGATATAGACCCAGGCTATCTTCCTTTTTCTCCATCTTATTCTCTCTTTTCCCCCTTATTTTCTTCTTTTTATCATTTCCTTCTTTCTTAGTTCTCCTCTTTTATTGAATTAAATAAATTATTATATGGCTGTTTGGTACAGACAATATGGCTTGCAAGATGTTGTCAAACAGTTGCAGAATGGCATGCAGCTGTTTACCCTTGTCAGTAACTTTCAAGCATGATATATGTTTTCCTGCAAGCATTGGTATAGACAGGCTTGGCCATTCTGCAACTCTATGAATTTTCATGCAAAATCATGTGTCTTGTGTGGGGACACAATAACGCTAAATTTCACATTCATTTTTGTGATAGAACAAGGGTCGACACTTTGGGTACCGGATTCATGCTGGTCCATGACCCGACCAGCATGAATCCAGTCCATACAGCATATGGACACAGGGGTAACAAAGAAAGAATCCATAAGACTTGGGATCCAACACCATGATAAAATACTACCCTCATGATTAGACCATGTCCCTGAGATTTGATAAAAGAAAGGTGCACTAGCGGTTAATACGTTGTAATCGGATAAGTTATTAAGAATATAACAGAACGAAAGACCAAGGAAAGGAATCAGAATGCACCAAAATGCAAGTACTGCACCAAACTCTGGTGGATGTTTCTTGTTGTAAGTGAATTCAACGAAAAGACCCAGAAATAACAAGTAGTGAGAAAATGAATTTGTTGACATTTTGTGCTCATTTCCAAATTTTAGCTTAGTTATTCCCATCATCTAGTAACCACAGGATGATCCCAACGTCCTTTTAGTACAAGAGAGTAGACGAGCATGGTGGACCCTATATCTCTTAGGGTTGTACCACTGTAGTAGTTTGAAAGTCAGCTTAAGAGAGAGCTGTTGATTGTGCACTCAACAGCTTCCCTGTAGAGAGAATGTTTTGCAAGGTTTTTTGTGAGGGTATAAAACATATAAAAAGAGCTGGGTGGTAAGCCCTATATTGCACGCAGACCTCCTAAAATTGGGCTGACCTGTATGCATCAGGCAGCACACACAAGTCCATCCGGTTTGTAGAACTTTGTGATAGAACACTTTTTGAGTGTTAATTGTAGCAAATTAGATGTGACAAAGATAAAAAAGAATAATTTTTTCCATGCTGTAGGCTTCTTGTTTAGAAAAGTGGACACATAAACTACAGATTAAGATTTAGTGTCACAGTAAATTGTCATTCTGATGATATTAGTAATAGTGTTTTATATAAATGTCATTTTTCTTTGAACATTTTAAAAATGATTTTTCATTCATGTCATTCTTTATCTTTTCTCTAAGTGTGATAATTAAGTGCCTAAGAGCCTCTTCTTCTTTAGACTTCTTATGAACCCTGATTTTCTGGTCATCCCTAAGTTAATGCCAGTCTGCCAGAATTTTCTTTTATGCCAGATGGGATTTGTTGCTGGATCATATTGTGTGCTTACATACATGCAAAGACAAATACTCCTTTAAATATTCAATACTTCTATTGAATCACGCAAAAGATGATGGAACATGGATATTTTTTCCTTACTAGATTAGCCTGTGGGTTGTCAACTGTGATTATGGTGAGGGGAGTACTTTTGCAAAATCTGCCATGGTGAGAACTCTAGCTCTGAATCCAAAAGTTAAAGCAAGCTTTGGTGATTAAAAACTCCTGCTAACATTGACTTTTTAGGGCTTTTGGAATGTCTGTTGCATTTACTGAATCACTTTTATATGAAGTTTAATAAATTCATCAGTCAGATACTGATCTAGAAAAAATGACATGGGCATTTGATGAGTACACATCCTGAGGGTTAGCTTGCCACTTCTGGTTCATTCAGTTGAAATGTGCCATGCATGGTTTATCTCTTTTGGAACTATCCTTTGTTACTTAAGATGCAGAATTGGTGCATGTAATTTCAATAATATTCTCTGCACAAAATTTTTCATTCTCATGTGCATGTTTTCTTTCTTGTAGATGTCTTAACTCATCCGACCTTCTGGTGAAGATTCATAAACGCAGTAGGTATGATGTTTCATTTGACTTGCTATTCTACATTCTGTTATATACTTAATTTGCTGTTTGGTTCTACTGGTTGCACTTTCATGATAAAGAACTTTATGTTTTGTACTGTATGTTAGTCCTTTTGGTCCTAATAACTTATTTTCAAAACAATTGTTAGGTGGAACAGCCTCTAACAAGTAACCGCGCTTATAAAATTCTGTCAAGAACCAAATCCAAATAGAAGCTGGTGTCTGTAGGTCTGACTGAGATTTTTTTGTGCATGGACCAACTCAAAATATAAGTTGTTAGCTTTTTGGTAGGTTAGGTCATGTAATTGATATCATGGTTCTACGTTTTGTTCAGACAGGTACATCCCAGTCCCATATCAGATCCTTATCAGTTGGCCAGGGACCAGCATGGGTCTGGTAACCAACACAACACACCATGATTGCAACTATATAAAGATGATGTAATTAGGCAATTTTGGAAGTAGTTGATCCAGGTGAATTCTGCATTTAGCAATAAAATTGCAGATTTTGGTGTTTCATCAAAATCAAAAGACCTTAGCAGTGACACAAATGGTAAGATAATGCAGAATCCTATATGCACCAAAAATGCAGTGTTTGGTGGATTCAACATCCATTCAGTGGGATACTACACGTTTCATCTCATAAGACTAATGCCTTCTTTCTTCAAGAATAGGCTGGAAAAATGGAGCTGTCGAGGAAGCTAAAATTTTGCTATGTAACTGTAGCATCCTGAAAGCATAGAAAATTTTGATATTTTTTTCCATTAGCTTATGTTATTTCAAAGAGTTATAACTACCGTTATGATTGTGTTTGTGTAACCGTAGGAATATAAAGTTATGTCAGCACCTGTGAGTGAATTAAGTTTTCAAAATGAGCACCTGTGAGTGAAGAGCAAACCTCGATGTCATGGTATCCTTTGTGACCCAATTGAGTAAGGATTCGAGTAAGAAAAATAGTTGTTTGACTTGTAGGGGTAAGATCTCATACATTTCAATCACTATGTCAGGCGTACTTACAGAGTTTGGACATATAACTTAGGCTCCATTAATTAAAAAAAACATTTTTATTAGTGTAAATAGCTCTTAATATGTGTCAACAGATGATCATGTAGGCAAAACCTACATGCACCCTAAACTCAAGCCCGACACACTGTTCTGGGATCCCTATCAAAGGTACAGGTGGGATCAACTCATTAAGGCGTGGATGTAATGGTGCAGAATGTGTGTCGGCAGGGTTTGCCTGTATTGATATATAGCATGTGGCATTAGTCATGTCCTAAAATTACCATGCTTGGCCTTCCTGTAACCTGTGAAATCTAGCAAGCTGCAGATTTCTGGTATTGCTCAGTGATTCCAATTTACTTGCCCGCTAACACATTTCATTGTTTATTTTCATGTAAAAGATGGCAAGATTTGGTTATGCCTTGACCGAGTTTTTTCTTCATGGGCTAAGTTCAGCGGTTAACTCTCGCCTGTATCATTTCTCTTTGGATACCCAAATAATGCCCAAAATATCTCCTAACCAACCTTAATGATATTTATATTTATTTTTTACATTAGTCTTTTTTATCGTTTTGAACTATTAAAGTGTTTTCATTTGGCTCATTTATAGTGGTTTTCAATAGTATTATAGTGTTTTTATTAAAGTGTTGAAAACACCGGAAAGTTATTGAAGAACACTGTAAATAATATCATATTACGTCTATTTAGTTGTCATTACTCGTAGATCATTACAGTATCATATATTTAGTTTTGTAGTTGGTTTGGTTGAGATTAGTATCATTTATAGTGTTTTCAAGTATGTGTTTTTATCGTAACGATCAAAACATAGGTCAGTTTTTTTTATCCCTATTTAGGTGATATTTTAAAACTATTATAAATATCTATTTGATTGCAAGTATGATATATCAAATATTTTCTAGTGTGTATTGATTTCATTTGGCTCACTTGTGTTTTTCAATAGCATTATACAGTTTTTACTAAGGTGCTGAAAACACTTTTAAGCCATTGAAAAATAGTGTAAATGATATCATATAACATATCTTTGGTTATCATCACTCATAGATCATTACGGTGCTAAATTTTAGGCTTGAAGTTTGTGTGATTGAGATTACAAGTTTATTTGTATCATTTATATTATTTTTTAAGTAAGTTTTTATAATATTTTTTATTGTGATGGTTAAAACACTGCAATAGGCCAAAACATTATAATAGATCAAAACCCTATAATGGACAAGGAAAAATATTATTGGGGTTGATGATGGATATTTTGAATATTACTTTAGACAGAGAAAAACGAAAGCAAACGATACCTTTTGGGAATAAAAAATAAAAATGATATTTTTTTCAAAAAAGTCACCCTTCAAAAACATCCAAAGAGAGTCCTAATTTGAACTTTTCAAGATGATAAAAATACCTTGCTGACAACTTGACAATGTTAATTTGTGATTTATTTTTTTTATCAAAATCAAAGTAAATCAAACCAATCATGTTGATCCAAATCTGATTCAGTTCAAAGTAGATTCGGTAGAAACTTTTTATTTTCTACAATAAAGGCATTTTGGTATTTTTGCAAAGGGAAAGGAAATACAGTAATGGAAGTTGTGATCCTGCAAAAATGAGCTTTTTATAGGGAAATCACATATGTTAGGAAACTGATTGACGAAACTCAAACAATCTGAATTCTGCATGAAATTTGTATTCATGGAAGCTGCTTGGCAGGGGCGGAGTCACAAGTCACAATTTTGGTCGTTGTTGTCCCAATGCTTTCTTTTATTCGATTGCTGTCACTTACTGTGCAGCTTCATCAGTATCCAATCACCTACCATTTGGCAAGAGGTGATGAGGATTCCGATCGTTCAATCCATGGCGCCCTGGCGGCATAGCAAAAGGATTGAGATTTTGATGCAGCTTATAATCTGAACGTGGTATCAGCAGACATCGTTGCCGTCCAGAAGCTCTGGCCTGTTGGCAGCGGCAGCCGCAGAGGCGGGCGGTTGGTTCTTGTGGTGACGGAGGAGGAGCTCCTTCTGGCGGCGGATCTCCATGACCTTGCGATGGGAGTTGGAGTGCTGGGTGAGCACGAAGGCTGGGCTGGCCGCCGGTCGGTACTCCGGGAGGAGCCGCCCGGACTTGTACCTCACCCCGCACGCGTTGCACAGCGTCTTCGGCCCCAGTGGCCCCGTCCGCCACTGCGGCGTCTTCTCCGATGCGCAGTGCATGCACCGCCGCACTCCGCCCTCCGCTCCGACGCCCCATCCGCTTTTCTTTCCTCTACTACCGCCATTACTGCCGCCGCCTCTGCTGCTAATACACTTAATACCGATGGAATCAGGTTGGGAAGGTGGGAAATCAGAAGAGGACGAGGACGAGGACGACGGCGAGGACTGCGGTGGTGGCGTTAACGAGGACCAAACCGTGGTAGGATTGCTGCTCCTGGACCGCTTGCTTCTCGCTGCGTAACGTGCAACGCATTGGTCCACGCCTAGCTGGTTGTCACCGGCAATGCGTTGGTCCACTAAGAGCTGCTTGTCGCTGGCGGTGGTGGTAAGGCCGGTGTACTGGTAAGGGACGTCAGAGAAAGAGTCCTCCACGAACTGCGACAGCCATTCCAGCTCCGCCGCCTCTTCGCTCTGCAGGAGAGGAGAAACAAATCCAGACACAACGAAAGAGAACAGAAAGAAGTCGACTGGGTGTTCTTCGTGGACGTGCTCACCGGAACGTAGAGGTCGAAAGATGAGTCTGTTTCTGCAGTTCCACCGACAGTAAAGAATTGGGTGTCAGCACCAAAAGCTGAGGGGAAGAGATCGCGGCCGGAGAAGTCGAGGACGTCGGTGACGCGGAGAGCGTCAACGGCGGGTGGAAGGCCGTAAGGATAAGCTGGAGCAGCAGCATCTTGCTGCGGTGCAACAGTAACTAATGAAGCAGAGTAGGAGGAAGCTGGCGTTCTCATTCCGAAGTCCATATCCAGCGTCATCGCTTGCTTCCGCGCCATTAATGCCAGCAAAAGAGGAGAATTCCCTTCTCTCCTACAGCAACAAGCGACGAGAAATAGTGAAGCTGGTTGTGGTAGCGAAACACAACTTGCGGGGGAAGCAATAAAGCACTTGCATTATGGAAGACACCGACGCCAACGTGGATTAATACGACTTCCTCTCATGACAAACGAGAGCAACATGGGATAATAGTACATGTATACATATAGTTCGCTCTCTTCGAGACAAATGTACATATTACCACCGTCAACCCTCTTTACCTGTGTCCGCTGGAACACTTGTCCCAAAGAGGATGACGTGGTTCAATTGTCTCCGCTGGAACAGGAAACGACCTTCATTTACCGCCCTGTACTGCATCGGACCATCCGCACTCGTCCATGGACCCATTTCGCAATCTTAAAGCGACTACTGACCGTGTGATGCGTAAAGGACGATACACGGAGCGCGTAATCAAACCTGGAGGAGGTAGTTGCACGTGCACTTAAGGAAGCGGTGGAGGTGAGGCTTAATTATAAGCCGCTTTAAAACATCCCCATGGTACTAAATTACGCAACCCACTCCCCCGGCATCTGGTCCCTCTCGGCGCCACGAGTCACGTCATGGACGACGGTGTCTCCGCCCGAAAACTCTGGCTCCACCACGTGGCCGTCGCTCGCGGTGCCGAGAGTACGTACCCGTCGCACCGGGAATTGTCGTGTAGTACCGCGGGTCCCAGTCCACCATCACGACAGAAGCCAAGGAATCCAAAGTGGATTCAAATACCATTATGATAACAGCTTGATATAATCACGTGCCGGGACACTACTATTTTATCACTTTAACAAAAAAAGAAAAAGAAAAATTTACTCCTTTTGTCAGTACCTTTGCCCTTTGCCCTTTGCCCTTTGCCCTTTGCCCTCGACCTTCCCCCAATCGTCGTCGCATCATCGGTGCATGCTTCACGACTACCCGTTCTCTCATGACTTCGAATACTAT